AAAATTGCCCAGTCGCCTACTGAAACATGTCCTGCAATTTGTGCATTGCTTGAAAAAATCGTGTGATCACCAACTTGACAATCGTGACCAATGTGAACATAGGACATAATCCAATTATCACTTCCGATTTTAGTCATGCCTTTATCTTGAATTGTTCCTGTGTGTATGGTCGTGAATTCACGAATGGTGTTACGGTCACCAATCATTAATTGTGTTGGTTCTCCTTGATACTTCATATCTTGCGGCGCACCGCCAATCACAGCATAATGACCAATCTGATTTTCAATGCCAATGGTGGTCATACCCTCTAAAATACTGTGTGCGCCAATGGTTGTCTTAGCACCGATCACAACATGAGGTCCGACGATGGTATAAGGGCCTATAGAAACTGAAAGATCAATTTGTGCTTGGGGATCAATAATTGCTGTTGGATGAATTCGCGTCATATTTAACTTTGAATGGGTTCATTACGTTTGACAGTACACATCAACATGGCTTCAGCCGCAACGGCTCCATCGACAAGTGCTTGGGTTTTATAACGCCAAATACCACGAATAAAACGATCTAGCGAACAATGTAAATGCAGTTGATCACCTGGAACGACTGGACGCTTAAATTTAGCATCGTTGATGCTAACAAAAAAATACACATCATTTTCATTTTGTTGCATGGTTTTGTCAGCAAAGGTCATCAGTGCTGATGCTTGTGCTAAAGCTTCTAAGATCAAAACACCTGGCATAACTGGAAAATGAGGAAAATGCCCCGTGAAATGGGGTTCATTGATAGATACATTTTTAATGGCATGAATTTGTTTGCCAGGATCAACCGAAATGACACGATCAACTAATAATAAAGGGTAGCGATGTGGCAATAAACGCATAATACGTTCAATGTCCATCGAGGATAAAGTAGTACTCATGACGAGGTCTCCTTGAGAGCATTTAGTTTTTTGAGTTGCTGACGCATTTGATATAGGTCACGACTAGCGATGGTGTTACGCTGCCATTGTTTATAGGGTTCAATCGATTTTGTGCTTGAATAAGTGCCAGGTTCACTAATGGATTGCGCAACACCAGAGCCACCGGTGATGGTCACTTTATCACAAATTAGCAAATGTCCCGCGATGCCAACACCACCACCAATGATGCAGTACGAGCCAATTTGGGTTGAGCCTGCAATGCCCGTACATCCTGCAATAACGGTACACCGGCCAATCTGCACGTTGTGACCAATTTGAACTTGATTGTCAATCTTACATCCAGCACCGATGATGGTATCTTCTAATGCACCTCGATCGATGGTGCTACTCGCACCAATTTCAACGTCATCGCCAATAATCACTTTACCTATTTGAGCAATTTTTAGCCAAGAACCACTCGCTGATGCTCCAGAAAAATCAGGAGCAAAGCCAAAACCATCAGAACCAATGACCGCTCCTGCATGAATAATGACATGTTGTCCGATTTGCGAGCCCTCGTATACAGTGACATTGGCGTACAAAGTTGTGCCAGAACCAATAACGCAGTCTTTACCCACAAAACATTGCGATTGAATCGTTACCCCATCGCCAATTTCACAACCAGATTCAATGACAACAAAGGGACCAATGGTTACGCTTTGTCCGAGTTTAACATCGGTGGCGATAATACTGCTTGGATGAATGGAATGCGTTACAGAGGATGGTAGAGGATGAAAAATTTGAGAAGTCTTGGCGTAAGCGACGTAAGGATTGTCATGTAAAAGCCAATGATGATGATTTTTGCAGTCAGTTGAAAGTTGAGAATAAATTTTTTCGGGCAAAATGACACAAGTTGCCTTAGATATTTTAAGGTCTTCCAAATAACGCTCATCCACCAAAAAGGCTATAGCATCTAATTGAGCTGACTTTAAATCACTGATTTTTGAGACAGTTGTTGGACAAGTTGCATCACTCAAAATTAGCTCACCGCCAATTTGGGCGGCGAGTTCATGCAGTGAAAGCGTAGGACAGGATAACGACATAAAAAACGGAAGTTATTTTGCATTCTCAAGTTTTTGCAAGACTTTATCGGTAATATCCGCCTGCGGATTGACATACACAGCATCTTGTAAAACCAAATCAATTTTTTCGCTTTCAGCGATTTCTTTAATGATTTTATTGGCTTTTTGAAGCAGGTTTGACATCACCTCACGTTTGCGTTCTTCAAGTTCCGCAGCAAATTTGCGTTGTTTTTCTTGGAATTCTTCATCTTTTTGTGTCAGTGTTTTTTGCATCCGTGTGCGCTCGTCGTCTTTCATAACGGGCGCATCTTTTTCATATTTTTCAGCCAGTTTTTTAAGCTCTTCTGCAGAGCTGATGAGGGCTGCCTGACGATCTTTAAATTCGGTTTGCAATTTTTCTTGAGCTGCAATAGAAGGTTTTGATTCGCGCAGAATGGTATCCGAGCTCACTACAGCAACTCGCGTGGCTTGAGCAAAAGAAAGGCTTGAAGCAAATAAAATTGCAGTGGCGGCAAAAACGTTCAATTTCATGAAATGATTCTCCAAATCAGAGTTTTATAAATAAAAATAAGGGCATTAAAATGATGTTCCCACTTGGAATTGAAATTTTTGCAGTTGGTCACCAGCTTTTTTCCGAATAGGTAACGCGTAGCTAAATTTCAAAGGGCCAATCGGTGATATCCACGATATGCCAAGACCTGCTGATGCCCTAAATTCACTAGGTTTGTAGAACGTTTTTTCTGCAAAAACATTTCCTGCATCAACAAAACCAAAAAAGCGAAAGGTTTTATCAAGTTTTGCACCAGGGATGGGAACATAAACTTCTGCATTAAAGTTGATTTTATTAGGACCACCTACCCCTCTTGACTGGGTAACCAAAGACTGACCATCAACGCTAATACAATTGGCCAAATTATCGGTCTGACCTGTTGATTGGCAATACGGCTCTGATAACGGCCCCAATGAACTCGTGCCAAAACCTCTAACTGAACCAATCCCCCCACTGTATTGATTTTTGAAAATTGGATAAGGTTTACCACCATAACCTCTACCGTACGTCACGGCGCCATTTAAAGCCAACGTAAACCCTTTTAAGAAAGGAATGTAATGGCTAATTTGATAGTCTGCTCGACCATACCTGATTTTACCAACAGGAACAGTTACCTCAATATTGGCTTGTTGTAACGTACCTTCGCTAGGCACAAGTGCACTATCCCGAGAGTCGCGTGCCCAACCAATGGTTAAAGGGAATGCGGTGGAGGCTTTGCCAAAATTCTTCAAATGTTGATTGTAGGCATAACTACCTGTACTTTCAATGTTTTTAAGATTAATGTGTTCTGCGCCAGCACCAAAATATACAACATCTTGCTCTGAAAAAGGCACACCAAATTTCATGCTTCCACCTGCGGTCACAATTTTGTATTGTTTATCTTCATCAACAGATGAGTTGCCTTGTGGTGTAGAGGTGCGATAATAAAGATCGGTTAACCGAGAGACACCATCAATCGTAAAATAAGGGTCCGTATGACGAATCGCAATAGTGCGATTGGTTTTGCTGGTATTTAAGTCTACGCCAATATTGGTCCCAGTACCAAAAACATTGTCTTGGTTAACCGAGGTTTGAAAGACGAATTTATCAGTTGTTGAGTAGCCAACGCCAATATTAAATAGACCCGTTGGCTTTTCCTTAACATTAACTGCCACATCGATTTGATCATTTGATCCTGCAACAGCATCCGTTGTAAGCTTGACATCTTCAAAGTATCCTGTTCTAGCAATTCTCGCTTTAGAAAGAGACATTTTATCGCCATCAAACCACGCTGATTCAAGCTGGCGCATTTCACGACGAATCACTTCGTCACGGGTTTTTTCATTACCTGAAATATTGATTTTGCGGACATAGACGCGTTGACCCGGTACAACTTTTAAATCTAGAGCAACTTCTTGTTTTTCTGCGTTGACGACTGGCACAGGTTCAACGGTGGCAAACGCATAACCATAGCGTCCCATCACATTGGTCATCGCGCGTGATGTTTCACCGAGTTTTTCACTGGAAAATAATTCACCAGGTTTGAGTGTGATGGTCTCTTTGAGCTCAGTTTCTTTGCCAAGCGTATCGCCACTGACCGTTACATTGGTGATTTTGTAGGGCACACCTTCATGAATATTGACCGTTAAGTAAATATCTTTTTTGTCTGGACTGATGCCAACCTTGGTTGATTCAATATCAAAGTCCAAATAGCCTTGGTTTAAATAAAATGCACGAACCGCCTCTAAATCGGAAGAAAATAAGTCTTTAGAGTACAAGTCATCTTTGGTATACCATGATAACCATCCAGGCGTATCTAAACGCATTTCATCGCGAAGAGTACCTTCACTAAACGCTTTATTACCTGTAAAACTAATTTTGCGAATTTTTGCCTTAGGACCTTCTGTGACATTGATCACAAAACTAATACGGTCTTGGTCTTGTGGAGTCGTTGTTGCTTTAATAGTGGCGGCGTAATAACCGCGAGATAAATAAATTCGTTTAAGTTCTTGTTCGGCACGGTTAGCAAGTGCTTTGTCATAAAAGCGTCCTTCAGTGATGCCAACACTTTTTAGTGAGCGTATGAGCTCTTCTCGACTAAGATCTTCTACACCTTCGAGTTTAAAGGCACCTATTGTTGGTCGCTCAATGACTCTAACGATTAGCACATCACCATTGGCTTCCACGCGAACATCTTGGAAAAAACCCGTACGGTATAAAGCATCAACGGTTTGGGATGCCTTAGTATTATCAAGGGTATCTCCTATCCTAACGGGCATGTAACCAAAAACAGTACCAGGTTCGACACGGCGTAAGCCTTCTACTTTGATGTCTTTAATAATAAAAGGACTCACGGCTAATGCAGCAGGTGCAAAAATGGCTGCCACCGCTACCGCTGCAATTGAAGTCATTCCTTTTAATCCACTATATCTCAATACTGTCATAGCTAACCTATTAATTTTTTTCAAAAATCATTTTGACATCATTCATGATGGCTAATGTCATCATCATCAAAACCATGGCTAATCCAATTCGCGTAACCCATTCTGTTATTTTAGTAGACAGTGGTTTACCACGAATCCATTCCAAGGTATTTAACAAAATTTGCCCCCCATCTAAAACGGGTATGGGTAATAAGTTAATAAACCCAAGCGAAACACTCAACATGGCCAAAAACACTACAAAACCTGCAAAACCATATTGCGCAGCCTTCCCACTTTCTTTGGCTATCGTAATAGGGCCACCAATCATATTTTTGTCTGCATCAAACGTTACAGCACGTTTGACAAGCGCGACTCCCTCTTGAAGGAGAAGGTGAACCTGTTTTAATCCCGCTTGTGTTGCCATACTTAAGCTGAGTGCCTTTTTCTGCTTTCCACCAACGGGTTGTAAATAGGCACCTAATCGATGATTTTGCAACTTAACCATCAACCATTTAGCCGTTGCCACGCTTGGACGCGAGAGGCTTGAGGGTTTTATTAAACCTACTTCGACGTGCATTTGTTTAGCCAGTGCCGATTTTAAGTTATCAAACGCATCAACCGCAACAATCTGATCGCCTAGACGAATAAATGCAATTGTATCACCAACTTTCGCACCTGCCTGTCTTAAAGAGCTATTTTTGTCAAAATTTTCAATTTTAAGACCGTCAATGCGAGGATAAATACCTAAAATTGCTTCTGGCATACGTGTGGACTGTTGCAAAACCCTCTCCCAATCAATGGGGACTTCAATTAAAACGGGTGATTGGAGGTTGGGACTTTGTCGTAGGAACTCGAGACGGACATGGTCGACTGGGGTGTCTCGAACCTCGATTTGCCAGTTTTGCCAATCATTCCATGTCGTAAAAGTTCTGTGGTGTTGGGTATTTTCTTCTTGCCAAGAAGCACCTGCAATAGCGTCATTGGCTTTGAGTCCTAATTGTGCTGCCCATGATTGCGCAGCTGGAGTGGCAATTTGATTGTGAACAATGGTTTGACCATCCGTCCAAGCTACAGCCGTAAATAAAATGACAGCAAAAACAAGGTTGGCAAAAGGTCCAGCAAAGGCTACTAGAATGCGCTCCCAAGGCTTAGCATCAGTAAAATATTTTTCACCTGGTTTAAGTGGATTAGGTAGCGTTTTTTCATCACCTACGATCTGTTCAGTTGGGTCATTCCTTGGGTCGGATGTAGCAACGGCTGGATCATGCGTAAATAGAACGTAACCTCCCAGTGGTAATAAACTGATGACCCATTCAACCCCTGTCTTTTTTGAGCGATGACGATAAATGACTTTGCCCATACCGATAGAAAATCTTTGTACACCGATTTTGAGTAAGCGGGCAACTCGATAGTGCCCCCATTCGTGCACAAAGACTAAAATACAGATAACAATCGTGAAATAGATCAAATTCAAGCAGCTACCCCTCTTAATACTTGATGGGTAAAGGTTCTTACTTCTTCGTCGAGTTCAAGCAAGTCTTCAAATTGTGTTACCGCATGCCCAGCAAAATGTTCCAGTACTTTTTCAATCGTTGGTGCAATTTGATGGTAAGCAATACGTTTATCTAAAAATGTAGCCACTGCAACCTCATTTGCTGCATTTAAAGTGGTTGGCGCATTATTCGGTGCTGTTAGAGCTTGGTAAGCTAAAGCCAAGCAGGGGAAGCGTTTTACATCAGCCTCAAAAAACGTAAGTTTTGAAAGTTTTGTGAAATCAAGTGATTGCGCACCTGATGGAATACGATTCGGGTAGGCCATGGCATAAGCGATAGGAATTTTCATATCAGCACTTCCCAGTTGCGCTAAAAGTGAACCGTCGCAATATCTCACCATAGAATGAATAATACTTTGTGGATGAATTAAAACTTTCAACCGATCTAACGGACAAGCAAACAACCAAAAAGCTTCAATGAGTTCTAGACCTTTATTCATCATGGTCGCTGAGTCAACCGAGATTTTGCGTCCCATTGACCAATTGGGGTGTTTGCAAGCTTGTTCAGGTGTAATGTGGATAAATTCTTCAATGGGTGTGCTTAAGAAGGGGCCACCTGATGCCGTAAGAATAATTTCATCAATTTGATCAGCATCATATTGGCGGGTTTTTTCAGGTAAACTTTGAAAAATGGCATTGTGTTCACTGTCCACAGGAACAAGGAGTCCGCCCCCACTTTTGACGGCATTCATCAGATATTGGCCCGCAACAACCAAAGATTCTTTGTTGGCCAATAAGATTTTTTTACCAGCACGGGCAGCCGCTATCGTCGGCGCTAGTCCTGCAGCACCAACAATGGCAGCCATGACCATATCAACGCTCTCATCGGTAGCACTGTCAATTAACCCCGCTTGACCGATCAGTATTTCAGGAGTATATCCACCCAAGCGATTACAATGTTGTATAAAATCATCAATTTGTTGGTTATCGCGGAGCACAACAACACGAGGCTTAAATTGCTGAGTTAACTGCGCTAACTTTTCAAGCTGATGATGTGCTGTTAAGGCAAATACCTTAAATTTATCAGGATGTTTCTCTATGACAGACAGTGTATTTTGCCCAATGGATCCAGTTGCACCAAGAATCGTAATAAGTTTAGGGTTTTGCACGATAAATTATCTGTTGCGAAAAATAATTAAGGGAGGTAGGAAGGAATCAGATAGGCTACGTAAGCGACGGGTAACACAGGTAGTAAGGCATCAATCCGATCTAAAATACCTCCGTGCCCTGGCAAAAGGTTGCTACTATCTTTCACATCACCCATTCGCTTAAGAGCTGACTCATATAAATCACCCATAATGGCTAATGTTACAAGGCAAAGGGCTAACAAGTATATTTGTTGCACGGAAATCATTTTACTCAAAAAGAAAAAATAATTATTAGGAATTTCAAGCAGCGTCATAAAAAGATAGACACAAACGAGTCCTCCTAATAACGCACCAACAACGCCTTCGAGGGTTTTATTAGGACTAACATAAGGAGCAACTTTAATACGACCCAGATATTTACCAAAAAAATAAGCGAAAACATCTGCAAACCATACTAAAAATAACACGGACATTAGAACAAAAAAACCAATTCCACGCAGTTGAACAAAGCTTAGCCACGCACTAAGGAGAAAAATGCAACCAAGGACTAATTGAAATAACGTTAGAGGTGATGGTGGTATACCTTCGCGTTTTGTGACGTAGGATACATAAATCAGTTGTAAAGGTACGTAGGTAAACCAAAGTAATATTGCGAGTAAGATAAAAACATTGATACCTTGAATATCGAGGAGTACAGTGATGCGAGGTAAGCTGATTAGAACCCCGATTATGAACACAGAAAATGCATAACCAATTGAATAAACATTAGAAAGTTTTGATATGCGAGCCCATTCCCAAGCTGCCATCGAGAAAATGGCAAGTGCTATAAATCGGATGATATTGAGTGGCGCAAAATAAAGTAGGGGTATTAAGATTAATACAAGTAACAATGCAGTCACGATACGTGTTTTGAGCATTAAAATACCTCTATAGGGTAAATGGGCTTGTGCATTATAACGGAAATTTCACAAGACGAATACCTCGAATGAATTGTTCTTTACTGGCTCCATCGCAAATGCATTGTTATCAGTTTTATTGTATGTCCACTGATAACTCAGGGAGGGTTTTAAACGTCCGTTCCAATGCAGATTTAATGAAATTTACTTTAAGTCATTGTTTGTCAGTAACTTTGCCAAATCGACGCTCGCGATTTTGGAAAGCAGCAATAGCTTCGTTGAGATCACTTTCCGCATAATCTGGCCAGTAAGTAGGGCTAAAATAGAGCTCTGTATAGGCAAGTTGCCAAAGTAAAAAATTGCTAATGCGCTGTTCACCTCCTGTACGAATAAAGAGATCTGGATCGGGCGCATAGTTTAAGGCCAGATTAGCGTTGATTGCTTTTTCAAAATCTGTCACACTCGACAAAGGGTTAGTGATCATCATGGCTTTTTTTGCTGCCTGCGCAACGTCCCAGCGACCACCATAATTTAAAGCAACGGTCAAGACAAGTGCAGTACAGTGAGCCGTTTGTTCTTGCGCTTTTTCGGCAATCGTCTGAATTTCTTGCGGAAAGGCAGATAAATCTCCAACCAAACGTAAACGTACATTATTTTCTTTGAGTTTACTAACTTCCAGCGTTAATGCTCGATAGAACAGTTTTTTCAAGAAAGACACTTCTTGTTCTGGGCGTGCCCAGTTTTCTGAGCTAAAGGCAAATAAAGTTAAATAGCCAATACCATGCTTGACGCAATATTGCACGGATCGTCTGACCGCGCCAAGCCCAGCGCGATGTCCTACCATGCGAGGGCGCCCACGCATTTTTGCCCAGCGACCATTACCATCCATCACAATGGCGATATGACGTGGGATATTTGGCGTTGTATTTCGAGATGATTGAGTCACAAATACCTTTACACTGTCATGATTTCTTTGTCTTTTTCAGCAACTAATCGATCAATTTCGATGACCGATTTGTCAGTGTGTCGCTGGATTTCATCTTGACCACGTCGCTCATCGTCTTCACTGATGATTTTGTCTTTGACTTGTTTTTTGAGTTGTTCATTACCGTCACGGCGAGTATTTCGAATAGCTACTTTAGCCGTCTCCCCTTCTGCTTTGACCACTTTTACGAGTTCTTTGCGTCTTTCTTCAGTGAGTGGAGGCATGGGAACACGTACCATATCACCGTTAGTATTGGGGTTTAATCCTAGATCTGCATCACGGATGGCTTTTTCGACGACCGACAACATGTTTTTTTCCCAAACTTGCACACCAATGGTACGACCATCGACCAGCGTTACGTTACCCACTTGATTAACAGGGGTTGGATTGCCGTAATAATCAACTTGGATATGGTCTAATAGCCCAACGTGAGCACGACCTGTACGAATTTTTCCAAGGTCAGCAATAAATGCGGCAATGGTTTTTTGCATTTTTTGCTCCGTGGCTTTGATCGTTTCTATAACACTCATAACAAATATCCTCTATGTTTTTTATC